TAAATCGAATTTATAATATCTTATGAAGATAACAGATAAATTTATATTATATTTTAGCATAATTATTTGTTATAATAATTAATTGGCCTATCGAATTACAATTTCCAGTATAATACATGAATAACAAATGGAAAACGATCAAAATTTCGAACGGACTTTTCAACTTAAAATCCACAATTAGTTAAAGCAATTTCAATCCTGATAATTTGAAACGTAAGTATGTTTAATATAATTGTGTTATACGATGCAAAAATAGTATATTCATTTATATTAAAAACTAAAATTATTTTCTCAATGTAAACGTATTTATGTACATAAAACAAAGTTATAAGTTCGTCGTTCATATTTACTGACGTGCGAATATACCCAAAGTATAGGCGCCTAGCGCGTCAGTCGATTTGTTAGGCAAAGTAAATATTTAAGTGAAAAATATTTTCCGCTACAAAAATTATTATCATCGATTTGAATTCATGCAAACAAGTTTTCCTTGAGATAAATTATGTTTACTTGTGATTGATTTGACACCTTTCAACCGGAATTCATTCATTCCGATTGAGTGAAGACTGACGAAAATAAATAAGGTAATCGTATTTCCATAATTTCATTCATATATATATATATATATATATATATATATATATATATATATATAAAACTGAAGGGTGTGTGTAAAGAGATTGCTAATTCAATTTGAATGCTGTTGGGAATATTTGTGTTTAAAGAATATATCACCGAAGGGATATCTATTGATGTGAACAATTCTTGGTTTCAGCTCATGCAGCTTACTACTGCACTTTATAATCTCAATGCAATTTGGAAATCTTGACACAAAAAAAAATGTAATCTATATTGCTAACTCCAATGGTCAACCCTCTCTTCGGGTTTAAATGTATCGCTTTTTATGTATGAAAATTAACAGGAAATATGATGATGAAACGAATGATAAAAATCGTTGTTTTACTCCACTTTTAATAAAAGAAAACTGTAAGGCCGAATTCTATGAATTACGTTAATAAGAAAACTTGTATAACTCAAGATTTATTTAAAAATTATAGTATAATATTTAAATAAATCTTGAATAAAAAATAAAAATCATTGTGTTAAGTATGGTTGATACGCAGTAACTTACAAATTTTAACCTGGGTATTTTAAAAGTGCTGCCTTTTGCCAGGGCAGTTTTAAATCTTCCGTTTCAAACTTATAATGTGTATTCAAGGGTTCAAATGACTTCAAGTGACTTTAAATAATTATCTAGCGTCACCTGTAGTATATTAAACTTGCTCGTGGATTACTAGACTGCCTTAAAATAATCTGGTTGGTAGGAAATTTTATATTCAGTCTTCACATCGAAGATTCTGTTGAACCTGACAGAAAATAATAAATAAAATAAATATCTTATTATATAATTTATATATATATATATATATATATATATATATGTGTGTGTACATGTGTATCTAAAAATTTAAAATTCGGTAATTGTTATGTATGTTCTTACCTATCACGAGCCCAGGGTTGAAATCCACGTTCTGAACATCCTCATTCCTGACTATCATATTTTTGAAAAATTTAAATGAACAATACTGAAAAGAAATACATTTTGAAGAAAACTGTCTGCATGACATTTTTTCCAACAATCTAAAATACAAAAATTTCGGATACCGAAAAAATCATTATGGTGTTTTGGGCTTATTATTTATTTAATATATAATATATTTTACAGTCATCCGTACTCAAAATAATTTTCTGATTAAAAAAATTATTTTGTAAATAAATTATTCAAAACATCCACAATCTCCATATACGCATAAATTTAATATATTAAACGCAGTCATTACATATCTTAAATAAATGTCTAATATGGATTAATCTCTATGTATATATGTTATACTGTTGTGTAAATGTATATATTTTATTTACTTTGTTGGTGGTGTTATAAAGTATCATTAACATATTTATTTCTATTTATAATTGGAGCATTAACGAACAACTTTGATACAATTTATTTGATTACTTGAGAATATGATGCAGATATGGTCTGTAATGATTATTTTTTAGTTTTACACGTTTGTCAAGCCAGAAAATTATTTTCAAAATAATTTGCATGTCATCAGTCATATTATGTTCAATAAATAGAACAATTAGCATTATAACATTACTAATATAATTTGTTGATATTAATTTTTAATACTGTACAAGTGAATTAAAATTTAAAGTTTTATAAATGTTATTATAACACTACGACACTGACACAACTCATGCAAGATATTTATTAAAACTTGTGTATTCAATGAAAAAATAATATTACTTTGGTGTTCTTTACATCTAAAATCATAGATGTGATTCAAAAATTTATTATATCACTTATTTAGTGCTAGTGCATTCACTGGTGTTTATTGTCTTACAATTACTGGTCAATTAATATGCGTTGAGCATCGATATTTTATAACACCACCTTTAACTATTTATTAGTATATGTATCTTATAAATTATGATGTACAAATTATTTATCTAAAAATACGGAATGATTAAAATGCATCACGGTTGAAAATGTCTTGATCACAGTGATGATAATGTGTACAGTATAAAATATGAGCTATACATTGTATATTTCACAATATGCTAAAAAATTTATAAAACAACACGGCCAAATTTTGTTTCTGCGGTAATTAAAAAGCGTAACGCGCTAATAAAAATATAAAGCAATGGTCGCTTTTAATTTCTTTCAATTTTTCTAAGTTCCTTATAAATATCAATCAGTACAGGCACAACGTTCTAAGACGATTGTTACTTTTATTATTGCAAAACATTATTTCTGAGTGAATACTAAGGGTAATAAGCTAACTATGCTTATAATATATAAATATGCTATATATACATAGTGGCATTTTTAAGGAATGAATATAAAAATAACTAAATTTTCTGATGCACGCAAAATTATATTTTTATTATATACTCATACTCATTTGCAATAATAATTTATATTCTTGGCTTTACTTAGCAAAACCTAATTTTGTTTTCTTTATAGTTTGATAAATTTGTGTTAAAACGAAGTGTTACTCGCGCTTATATAAATCCGCCACATTGATGTATTTTTATAGCATTTTACATAATGTTATTATACAATATTTACAAGTTAATAAGATAGGTCAGTCAATATAATGATTTTTATTGTATTTTCCATGATTCATATATTTCTTATTATATAAATCAATAGAAAAATTAGAATACTTTCTGATATATAAAAGATAATGCAATATCATTTTATGGAATAAAATAGTTGTCTTTTATATCGAATATAAAAGTAATAACTGGAGATATAAATACAGTACTGTGCTATATTCTAGTAAGAATAAAAAATCTTCGTTTTTACGTATTGCAGTATAAATTAAATAATTTTTTAAAAATGTTTACAAACTTTGGGCTAGTTTGAAGTGTATAATGTACTGTCCATATATATATTTTAAATTAGTATTCTAAATAAATAAATATATTGACAATTGTGGCTTGCTATTTCCATTTTTAATGAATAAATTTTTATAATGTCAATAGCATAAAATAATATCGTATGATTGGCTTATAAAATTAAAATTAAGTATGCTTACTAAATATTATTTACTTAAATATATATCTTGAATCTAAACAGAAATAAATAGAACCATAATAATTAAAACATTAAATTTAAAAAGATTAAATAGTCGACTAGAAAATATCTTGCTTTTGGCCATTTTATTAATATACAGCAAAACCAATTGTTCTACAAATTGCATTTTGAAGTAGATAATCTAAGTAAATATTTATGTATATAAGATTAGAAATCTGACATACAAGCCAAAAAAATGCAATTAAAATAAAAGCATCATATTCCTGCTTGGTAAACACTATACATGAAACAAATCCTGTTAGACTAATATATTACATTAGTTATATAGACTAATATACATTAGTTATATTTGCCTTTAAACGTTTAAAATTTATTCGATAAATTAAACCAAATTATTATCTATATTTTTTTTTTAACTCGTCAAGAAGATCATTTGTATTGATAATTGGTGCTAACAATATACATTTTACTGTTACGAACGTAACAATAAAACAGTTAACTTTTAATTATGCCTTATTACAAAATATGTTACATGTGTTTTAACAATTGTCAATATTGCAACGTTTGCATTACGGAATATTATTATAATATATATTTTAACGTATTCGGCATAAACATAATTTTGCTTATAAAACGTAGTTCTATCAGATTGCTTACAACGACAATATTCGGTTTATATTTTCGATACAAAACTAATATGTTAAAATTAAATACTGAATTTCAAGTGAGTATGGCAATTTGAATTTAGTTATATACATATATACAAGGCTCAACAATTTTGACTCCATTATGATTTTGCAAAATTTCATTGCATAATTATATGAAAAAAATAGCTATCAAAAATTAAAAAAAACATGTGAACCGATTTTATACTTATGTTGTCATAAACAAGGTTGCTAATCCTTAATATAAATATTTGACGAGACCAGCGTCAATAAACAAGCTAGCAATTATGTCATTTTATCCATCTGTGCTACATAAAAAGACAGTCTCCCTTGTTTATTCTAAAAACATGGTAATGTTGTTAATATTTATGGTTTAATCTACATAGTATCCAATATGACTTAATATTTAGTTAAAAAGCACCAATAACAGAAATAGCACACCAAAGATGCGTTTTTCATGAAGTCTTCATTATGTAATAACTTACTTACTTATGTATCTATCATAAAAATATGATTTAAATTATTTTTCACCGAATATATTTTATGGCAATTATTTGATTTGATTACAAGGTTTCTAATAGTATAATTTATTTAATGGAACATAATAAAAGTGGTAAAAATCAATAGTATCACTATTTTTAGGTGTTAGGAAAGTCTGTAGAGAAAATTCAAAAATTCATTTGCAAAACATGTGGAAATGCAAACAAATATGTAAATAATTGGTCCAACATGAAATAGTTTGATATCCATCTTATTAAGTAACTCTAGACTATCAGTCTACCCAAATTTTTACTTAAGTTTTAAATGTGTGTCTGATTTTGTAATTCAAAAACTTAGTAAGCTAAAAGAAAATTGCCATCTACTTTTGCAAATCAAAGGGGCATTATCTTTAGAGGCAATTTTCTAAATCAGTGAGAACTACTGAAAATTTGACGCAAGATGATGCCATAAAATGCGGTGTCCAATTTTCAACCAAAAAAATAAAACCATCACCCTGCTGACGCTATGATGGAAAGTCCCTATCCGTTCTTCTGGATCTCCTAGAAATCAATTGCACAGTATCTAAACTTTGTTGCCCTTGCGAATATACAGCAGCATCCAGTAAAGTTTCCGGGCTAAACCTTACTCTGGAATGGGAACTAGAAGAATCTTTCGCACTTAGGTAAGAGGAGTCATCACTAGTCAGACTATCTGGTGGAGTAGGATTAGTAGGCGTGCCACCGCCCGACGAACCGCCACTTCGGGAACCAGAAGTTTTTTGGGAATTATATTTTTTTAAACTGGAACGTAATTTTGTTACTCCTAATTCCAAGCCTAAGCCTAAGGTGCCTGGTCGATCAACCTGTTCTCGCACTGAGTAATATATATCTCCACCTCTTTGTGGAGTGGAGGCACCGCTGGGTTGCTTCCATTGGTGACTTACCAGATAGTCCTGGTAGGCGGTATCTGAATTATCACTGCGTTTACTGGAATACAAGGCCATTTCATCGGATTCGATTACATAGCCCGGGTTCACAGCGCTTAAACTTGCGGAGGAAGCATTAGAACCGGTTCGTCTATGAGCTACTTGCGGCACAGCCATGCGATCGTAACACGCATTATAGTCCTAATATTAAATTAGGACTTATTAAAAATTTAATAATTCCATATCAAATAATATATTTTAGGTGAAAGTCAGACTTATGAGAAACTTATTTAAATTGTTAATTTTTTTTTTAAAATAAGTTTAATAATAATATTCTCAGCGTAGTTGATCAAAATTCGACTTATATTGTCGTATATAATGATTATTATATATATATATATATATATATATATATATACATATATATTTGCCAATTGGTATTATTCCTTAAATAATGCTGGGAAATGCCATCAACAAAAATCATAAATAAATCATTTAAATCATGAACGATTCTTAAATCTAGAGTCAGTATTTCTTGAAATACAAAACTTATATATCGAGAACGATTTTTAAATCTAGAATCAGTATTTCTTGAAATATAAAACTTATATACACATATAAATATATATATATATATATATATATATATATAACAATACAAAAATTCTCCCACTGCTTTCTCTCCGTTTCAAATAATAACTTACTTGATAATAACTGTCCTGATAGTTGGTTGACTGATTTATCAAATAATCCGATGTGTTGTGATGTGAATATTTTCCAGCGTAATCACTCTTATCATACTGGTATCCATGATTGATCTCAGTTTTATACGGTGATGCATAACTGTTTAAATAAGTTCCCTCCGGAGGAAGTTCATTGGGCAAATAATTTCCAGGAATATATATGCCTAAGTTAAATAAAGATTATATATATATATATATATAATATACATTCATAATATATTTTACCAGGAACTCGATCAGAATTGACTGAATAGTCACCAGCGTCTGAACTGGTTTTTCGTCGAGGACTAGGCGTAGGTGGCGGCCCACTTAATAGGGTTGATCCAACACCAGAAGTATTACTATTTGTTGTTGCGGTATCTGATAGCAAAGTTGATGACGTCTGAGTTTGTGGTACACCTGGAATAAATAAAACATCTTGTTAACATGTTATCAATTAACATATGTATACATACCAAAACCAATGTATATAGTTGAATTGTAAAAAAAGAAGTTGTCAATTAAAAGTTGCAAGCAGTAAATATAAATAAGGAACGTAACAGGATATTGAGATCAAAGCTCAGTCACAAGGTTTACTAACATGTAGTGAACTCCTTAAGTTCTGATGAAGCTAATAATTTGGACGACCTAAAGCAATCAATTCCATTTTGGATATATATTTCGTCACTCAAAAACTGTCTAAACAATACGAATTCTTCTTATCAGATATATTAATATTTGGTGATTCATGTATTTAAAATTACGATAATACTGGAATTGCTTCAGATTTACCAATAAAAGATTATCTTCAAAACAAATCAATCTCAGTAATCAAATTAAACAAAAATATTTCATTTCAATATTAACTTATTGTTTCAAAGTACCTGTGTGATGATGAGCATGCATACCTCCCGAACTGGCGCTGTTTGGTAAATGTTGCGGCGAATCAGTAAACCTTAACGGCCTAATATTTTCATCCTTCTCATAACCAGCGACCTCTTTTCCATAGATACCAGTCACATGGCCTATCAAACCATATCCCGGTGCACAAACTCCTGATGTATTATGAGGCATTAACGCAGCTCTTGAATGCCGTGCAGGCCCGTGGTAAGTATGATGCGCGTAGACACCAGGAGCAGATTGATTGTTGTAATGATAATCAGAATACTTGCTAAGCACATCGTCTTCATCTTGATATAAAGGAGGTAAAGATCTCTGCATTGGCGGTTCTATGGGAAGTCTGTAAGGCGGTGATGATGTCTCCTCGTCTTCTTCTGGCCTATATTGAACAGAACATGAATATGAGTACGCATGATTTAAGCAATTACACGTTACGTTAAATGATGCTTATGTTATAATTATTAATTAATTAATTAATTAATTAGATGTTAATTAATCTACCTATTAGGTTGCAGCCTCGGATGAAGAGGAGAGACGTTAGAAACTCGAACATCATAGCCTGCAGCAAAACTGGCTAACATGGATGCCATATTATAAAGAACTAATTCCACAATTGATAGTTTCGCTCTGGGACGCACGCCTAGAAAGTAGAAGATATAAAATAGCAAATTATATAAATTAACATATTATTTTTAGCGATATATTTTTCTTACCATCAGCTGTGTATAACGTAGGCATGGGTATATCAGTCGCCCTGCTTTGATAACCCATTGCAATTGGCATCTCAGGACCCCATTCACTAGAACTGTAATCTGAAATGCAAGATTCCTAAATTTAATATTTACATGAAAATTATATAAATAAAAAGTATATTTAAAAATCAAATATTTAATCCATACATACTTCAACTAAAGTAACACCACCAAGCCGGTTAATATATTTTTCTACCAAGAATTGCACCTACACCAATAAAGAAAAATAAAGAGCATGCTTAAGTTGTACGGCACTAAATAATTTGGAATAATTAAGTAACTTGTAAGACAATAAATAAGCATATAATTGTAATCATAAATAATTTTATATTAATATTATATTTTTATTGTAAATAATAATAAAGACAAAAATAAACGACTATAATAAATCTTAATCTAAATAATTTAAAGAAAATAAACAAACATATAAGAGCAAATTTAATTTATTAATCATAAATTACATATACCAAACACCTTCACCAAATTATGAAGAAAAGATCAAAACGGAGCAGAAAATTAAAATTTACATAAAAGTCCATTCATACATATATTGCATTATCCAAAAAAAATTTAAACTACACTTCAAGACAAATTATAATAAATTATTTCTAATTGTATTTAAGTTAATTTTTCTAATTTCATGAATGATTTTATTATAATTCACTTATATAATTTAAGTAATAAAACCTATAATAAATAAATTTAGGATGCACATAAATTAAAAATAATTTTTATATAACTATTAGTTATGTGCTTAAACTGAAACAAAGTGTGCGGAATAGAGCAAATATATGTATACCTAAATATTGTAATAATAATAGAACATAGATTAGAAAGGAAACAATCACAAAAGCGATACAAAATGAGAGTGCTAGGACGCATACAAAAACAATTATTGTAGTTATAAAGTAGCAACAGAAAAAAAATTAAGATATGTCTGAAGTGTATATTAATAAATTCAACTTATAAAATGTATTAAAAATAGTTATTATATAAAGCAAGCAACTCAAAAAGTAAAAGCAACTATTTATTTGGGAACATTTATTTTCAAATTGTTAATATCTTATATATCCATAAAATTAATAATATTATAAGTAGACTTCAATAGACTACAAAAAGCTAACAAAATGTCTACCAAGAAAACTCTACCAAGAAATAATCTCATCTATACCAAAATATAATTATAAAAAATGAACAATTCTTCTATAAGCAGTAAATGTATAGTTATATTCTAAAAACAATAATTCTAACTTATAACGTAAAATGATAAATACTAAATCATATATACATATATGTACAACTTTGGATTTTATTCATGCATTCTGTAAATAAACAAAATCTTCATAAATTAAAATTATAATCAATTAAAGGTTTTACAATAGTATTGGCGTACATAGTGTTTGGTAAGTTTCATACCAACATTTGTAATTCATAAAACTAAACCTAAGCATGCATTTGTAAAACAATATAATCATTCTTTTAACTAAAGATTTGCGATAAACTTACATCCAGGCCTCAAAATTTCTTCTGAAATGCCTGGGTGAGACATGAAATATCAATAGATCGATTTAAATAATAATTATTCAAACAGTTTGGTCCCTATTTACAACATACTGTTTAAATATTATGAAAAAGTAAAAAATAATAGTTGTACTTTATAAAAATACTGTTAATATATAAATATATAATGTTACAACATTATATACTTTGATATGTCACTAAAGAATAAATTTTGATAGACATAAGAAAAGAAAAAATGTAGATACGAATAGGTCTTTTATCATTTTGAAGCAAATGAAATTCGTAGACAGTCAAATTGAATTGTTACTAATAAAATATAGTCATTAACAATCTAGTAATAATTAACTTTAAAATAACATTCTGAAAAGCGAACGCAATTTTATAAGCAATTGTAGATCTGACATATTAAACATTAATTTTCACTTTTTCTAAGAAAAACTAACATCCTCATTTTTCCATATTTGAAATAAATATTGAAGTCCATTTCTTGATAATCGATGTTGCTCCAATCATTTTAGAAACGTATAGCGAGAGAATCTCATTGTATGCTATTTTGTAACTGAATAGCCCGAAATAAAGTAAATCAAAAGTAACATTACACTACATTTGGATTTGCGATTTTAATAGACTGATAAAAAAGTGTGTATGCATTTTCAAAAGTAAAATAAAAAATAAATAAATTTAGCACTGTAAAATGTAAAGTTACAAAGTGAGATTCTCTTGCTAGTGAAATTAGCTTATTCTAAAATACTGGTTATTTATCGCGATTTTTGGGTCTTCCTATGATGAAACCCTTAGTTGAAAACACCGTATCGTAATGGTTGGCTTCAGGACTGTTTTGGTATAAATCACCATTCTTCGAATTTGCTTGGCTTTTGTTTCGATCTTTCGGTCTCAAAAAACTTCTGTAATCAAAAGCGCCACGCTCAAGCAGACCATTGTCCGATTGCGTTGACCACTTTCGAGCAAAATAGTTCGATTTGTGGCTTGAGGTCACACTATTACTATTACTAGGGCCGCTCAGGGTTCGATTATAGCCAAGTATCGATCGTGAACTATTCGAAGTAGGTGTCGATGTTTCTAATTCTAGAGAGGCCGTAAAATCGATCAAATCGGGAATGGACGAAGATCCAGGTGTGATGTCAACGTGTCTCCTTGCCTCGAACATAGAATCGCATTCGAGTAAAGTCTCTGCGCTTTTGCCTGTCATTATTTTAGTTTACTAAATATTTTCTGAACAATTTTTAACGATAAACACAAGCGCTTTACATATGATGCTGTTCAGGCCAGGTGATTTGGAATTGCTTAGCCGGGTAAGAATGAGCTTCCAATAGATTTATAACGTTTTGTCACGATAAGCCGACAGAAAATTAAGTCAGTGTAAGTATATTATCAATAAATGATATTGGAATTATGATTTCTCTTTCTGTGTAAATTAAAACCAGTCTCAGTTTTCCGTTAAAAGATTAACACCAAGATTTAATTTCTATTGTAGTAAAATACATAAATATTTGAAAAAATAAGCTACTTAAAGTTATTTTTAAAATGATACACATTTTGATAAAAAATGATAAATAACTAAATAATATACAAAAATGATACATAACATGTATAAAATTAAATAAAATCAACAACTAATGCAACATTTTATTTCGTATTATATGATATTTGTACTCTAAATAAATAATTGTGTTGATTACTTAATCACCTATACTACAGTGGGACTACAGTGTGCAAACGATTTTATGAAATTATAATACATGTGTGCTCGATTTTTTTTTAACTATTCTGCTCCCTAATTGCACTAACTAATATAAGGAGTTTAAATACATATAATAAAAAATAGTAAATAAACGTCTATTCTATTCAAAAACGTCTATTTTATTCCCCTAAACAATATCGTGACAAATCGTAAATACATCATTTAGGAAACTCAGTCTTGGTCATGCATATTTTTGATTGAGAATTGGTGAAATAATGGTTAATATATATGATTATATATGAGCGTGCTTAGATTTGTCAATATCATATAAAAGATAGCAATAAAAGTCATGCTATTCAAAATGTTCGTAAAGCCAAAGTTGAATTCAGTGTTGAATTCTGTATATGATTCAATCCTAATATAATCAATTTTATATTGCAAATAATTGTTTATATGTATATATATATATATATATATATATATATATATATATGTTTATAGATAGCAAATGCTATAAAAATTAAAAATGTAAAATGCTAAGAAACATGCAATAATAATCAATTTTCCCTTGTAATGAGATTTAGTGAGACGTCTCGTCTTTTTATTTAAATAATATTCATGATAAAGCCATTAAACTTTCAAAATTGTTTTGTGAAGTTTACATAATACGCATTGAAAATGTAATATATATTTCTAATTTATACGATGCTTAAAACTAGCTACAAATGAGTTTAAAAAACGCGTTATTGCAAACAAAACTTTTTTATTTACTGTGCTTCATCAACTTTATATCTGCTTACTAAGCCTATAAGGAGTAATGAAAAATTTTTCAAGAGCAAGACAACAAAATTAACGATAAGACCAGCTGCAATGCAAATTATCATAAATTCAGTATTATCCAAGATAAGATATTGTCCTCAATTCCGCTTTTCCACATGACAGAAATAAAATTATTATTACAGAAAGTAAAATGAATTACAACTATTATATATGATTCCAATGTTCTATCCCCATTAAAAGCAAGCATCCAAACTAATATTTTGAAGATAAACGACAACATACCTAATTCCTGCACTCGAAGTGTTCCTGACCCATGAGGTCTTGTCTTGTCCAAGTTGGGAGCGCTTTTACTAAACGCTGGAGCTCCGCGCTGATGAGCACGGTGCATGGCACCAGGCAGAACAGTTCGCTCGCGTTGATGAAGTGTTGAAGGACCCCACGTTTTGCCCTTAACGCCGTCGGAAGGCACTGAAAATTTTGGATATTAATATATGAATATTTATATATAATATATCAAAGTCTAACTTTGTTTAATACTTACAAGCTATTGCTCTCAGTCTTGGTATGGCAGGCGAACCAGGAGGCGTTTCAAGTCGATGCCTCGCGTTTTCACTCACTGCAGTATGTTGTACAGTTATAGTATGGCGAAAGTCTGATGGCAAACTAATCTGACCAGGTTCTTTCTTCAGCAACTGTATTTACATAAGAAAATATATTTAGATATGATTGATCAAAAATTCTGACCAAAGGCATTTGTGTTCATTATTGCTGAACCACCAATTGAAAAACTAATAATAAAAATTTTTTAAAAAATGTCACCTTTAATCGAGATCTTTTAAACTTTCCACGTCTTTTGCAGGGTTCGGGTGCATTTAGTCCATTAATCATTATCCTTAATTCGCGTGCTAATAGTTCGATTTCTCGTGCATCTAAGTCTTCTTCTCTCTGACGTAACTCGTATTCGTGTTGTTTTTGTTGAAGTTGCGCTCGTTTCAGAATTTCTTCTCTGCACCGCAGTTCCTGAATGTAAAAAAAAAAAATTACTATATACGATCCAACAAACTTAAATTTTATAAACTACAATAACATTTTTAATATGTTAAGATGGAAAAGCACATTAAATGACTCACATAGTGAATATAATTTTTCGAGCCCAGAAAAATATAAAATAGTAAAAACTACAAAAAATATTATTCCATTAATGAAATCTATAAATCTACAAATAATCATATTGCATAATAAAAACTACTGCATACCGCACACATACAAAAAAATGTACCATACCTCTTCAAAAGACAAGCAGGCCTGAACCGAGCGCATGGAGAAAAATATACAATTTTTAGTAATCGTAAATTAATAATATAATTGATGTCACAAATCTAAAGTTTCTATAATTTATATATTATGATTTTTAATTTACGGCTCATAGAACTCTATTCAACCAAAAGTAATATGTTTAATAGAATGATAATACTTTAAGATAATACATAACCATTATAATTTCGTTGTATTACATGCTATGTATTTTATATATGCAAATATTGCTAAAATTTTTGAAAACTATAAATAGATTCATTGAATTATATCACCTACAAAATATCGACATCTATTTATAAATTCTTTAGATTACCGCGACTAAATTGTTCTCATCAAATACTTGACGGTTCCATGGTGTAATGGTTAGCACTCTGGACTTTGAATCCAGCGATCCGAGTTCAAATCTCGGTGGAACCTGGTATTTTATGGCCTATTTTTTTCATTTACAAGTCTAATTGATTGCATTATATCAAGTAAATATTAAATTAACCTACAAAATATCGACATCTATTTATAAATTCTTTAGATTACCACTACTAATTTACTCTCATCAAATAGCCAACGGTTCCATGGTGTAATGGTTAGCACTCTGGACTTTGAATCCAGCGATCCGAGTTCAAATCTCGGTGGAACCTGGTATTTTATGGCCTATTTTTTTCATTTACAAGTCTAATTGATTGCATGATAACAAGTAAATATTAAGTTAACAATTTATCAATAAATGCTAATGTTCATTGGAAAATTTCTTTTTCGTTTTCTTCCATATCTATAGTCATTAAGTCATTATATTATATACATTTTCCAATGTATTATATCATGTATTATATCATGTATTATATCATGTATTATATCATGTATTATATCATGTATTATATCATGTATTCTATCATGTATTCTATCATGTATTCTATCATGTATTCTATCATGTATTCTATCATGTATTCTATCATGTATTCTATCATGTATTCTATCATGTATTCTATCATGTATTCTATCATGTATTCTATCATGTATTCTATCATGTATTCTATCATGTATTCTATCATGTATTCTATCATGTATTCTATCATGTATTCTATCATGTATTCTATCATGTATTCTATCATGTATTCTATCATGTATTCTATCATGTATTCTATCATGTATTCTATCATGTATTCTATCATGTATTCTATCATGTATTCTATCATGTATTCTATCATGTATTCTATCATGTATTCTATCATGTATTCTATCATGTATTCTATCATGTATTCTATCATGTATTCTATCATGTATTCTATCATGTATTCTATCATGTATTCTATCATGTATTCTATCATGTATTCTATCATGTATTCTATCATGTATTCTATCATGTATTCTATCATGTATTCTATCATGTATTCTATCATGTATTCTATCATGTATTCTATCATGTATTCTATCATGTATTCTATCATGTATTCTATCATGTATTCTATCATGTATTCTATCATGTATTCTATCATGTATTCTATCATGTATTCTATCATGTATTCTATCATGTATTCTATCATGTATTCTATCATGTATTCTATCATGTATTCTATCATGTATTCTATCATGTATTCTATCATGTATTCTATCATGTATTCTATCATGTATTCTATCATGTATTCTATCATGTATTCTATCATGTATTCTATCATGTATTCTATCATGTATTCTATCATGTATTCTATCATGTATTCTATCATGTATTCTATCATGTATTCTATCATGTATTCTATCATGTATTCTATCATGTATTCTATCATGTATTCTATCATGTATTCTATCATGTATTCTATCATGTATTCTATCATGTATTCTATCATGTATTCTATCATGTATTCTATCATGTATTCTATCATGTATTCTATCATGTATTCTATCATGTATTCTATCATGTATTCTATCATGTATTCTATCATGTATTCTATCATGTATTCTATCATGTATTCTATCATGTATATTTTGTTAAAACCTAATATTACCTTTTCTTTTCTGCGCAATTCTAAGAGCACTTCTTCAATCTCTCTGCGCCAGTCGTCCTGCATAGAATGGAATGATTCGTGTGGTGTATTCGCGAAGGCCGACCTGGCTATATCATCCAACGCTTCTAACACCTTGGGAAAGTCCGGCCTTCGGTGTGGATCCGATTCCCAGCACGCTGAAGAATAATAGAAATTAAATAAATAACATTTATTAAATGCACATTTGTAATAAGAAAACTAAGGCGGAATACTTTAATAACAAGTGTCAATATACTATTAAAATAACATGTTTATATATCATATACGTGAAGCATGCATATAGCATACTGAACTTGGATGGTCGATATTTATAATAACAGTTTATTTTAACCTAGATATTAATTATAGTTTATATAAAATAAACATGTTATATTATGATAAATTGAATCTAACATTACAGTATATTTATGAAACAATTTAAATTCCAATCAATTATTGCAGCACAACCTATGGATATAATATAAAATGTTGCTAAAGAATCGTAACTTACAAAAGTATTGGATAAGATTTATAAATAATTTTATACCTTCCATTAGATCTCTCCATTTCACAGGGCAAGTGGACGGTATTGGCAGCGTCAATTTATTAACAGCAACTCCATAGGCTACAGCAAGAGCGTCAATTCCTTTGTACGGTGTCTGCCCAGTTAACAATTCCCATAACAGAACCCCGTAGCTCCACACGTCGCTGGCTCGAGAGAATGTACTCGTCTGGAAGAAAATAAATAAATTAAAAACTGCGATTCTTTCAGTAGATTATAAAGAGTGCAATATCATATAAGAGCAATATTTTTTAATGCGAAATAAAACAAGCAAACCAATAGTTCGTTGGATTAAATGTCTTATATGTTGGACAACTAGACTAAATTAGAATTTGAGTTACCTTTTTATTTCATTTTCAATCAAAACTAATTAAGATTCGCATTGATTTCTTATACAATAAGATTTAAATTATACTGTAAAATTTTAACACTGTCATTTTAGTAAGACCAACGTTACAAAATAATACTGTTATTGAGCTATGTAAATGTTCTGTACAAATGAAAGCAGAGACCGCAAAGAGATATCACTAAAAATAATAATTCGTAAAAAAAATATATGATCCGTTGAATTAACGAACATTTGATTCTTTACAAGTTCCTCAGATCAGAACCAGAGTATTATTATAGCCACCAAAAATTCTAACGGTTCCATGGTGTAATGGTTAGCACTCTGGACTTTGAATCCAGCGATCCGAGTTCAAATCTCGGTGGAACCTAGTGCTTTTTTTTTATCATTTATTACTTTGCCTGTCGGATAAATAAATTTCATTTTGATAGCAAAAATAAATAGCATATAATAAATTTACTAAAATATTTAAAATTGAAATGTATAATTTTTCTTTAGGTTTCAAACTTATCACTTAAAGTGATCAAACTCATCAATTAAATTGTGGTAATTTAAATCATTATATAAATTGGATAATTTTCTTAATGATAAATTAAGATTTTCAATTCTAGTGTTTGTGGCTCATTACGATCATGATTTTTGGCCCATTACTATAAGTTACCCTACTATAACTTACCCTACGAGAATAAAAATAATTAATTAATAAAAATAATTTTAAATTGTTTTGATAATATTTTCATAAAATCCTTTTTTAATCAATATAGATACTCATAATTTTTATAATGTATCGTATTTAGATTAGTTTAGACACATTTACTACAGAAATGCACTGATAATAGTAAATAAAAAATAGGTTTATGCTTTTCTTTCGTCGATTAATCTTGCTCATTCTCTTTATTATTATGCTTTTACTACCTTTTATAGTCGTTTATGATTCTAAATTTTCTGTTTAACTATCTTCATAGTTTATGTCGTTCTACATTGGTTAACATCAATCGTCTGCTTTCTACTTGATTAAGAAACTTCCACTAAAAGCGTGGAATATTTAACGATAACGACTTCGAGTTTTACATAGTCATGTAAAATGCCAGCTATTAGTCCATTGATAATGAATTGTTTAGATTATTCAGTTATTCGAATTATTCGAAAAGTTATTTAGAATGCTTTGTACGTTTAATCTTTCGTCTTTGATTAAAATTTGACATTAATACAATTTTGAAATTTATTTGATTTCGATTGAATAATTAACACGTTATATATGATGATATAAATAAATATTTATAAATATTGAGTTATAAATAAATTATTTTTCCAAAACAAAGATTCAGAATTAATTATTGTTTATGATAAACCATTGTATTACAAATGTGTTTACATCTTCCGTAGTGAATATAAAAATATATGAAATATCAAAATGTAAATAAAAACATAATGTTTAATGAAATCGCGTATACTCGGCATTTTTACATCTGCTCAATGTAAAATGTTTAGTAAATAATATTTTATAATTATATGGTTTAGAACAATGGCGTGGATTAAATACTATAAATTCATCAATCAGTAGGTTCAATGCTCAATATCGATAATAGATTTAATTAATTTATAATCTATTCGAATTTCATCTTTTTATTGCTTTAACGCTTCTTTACCAGGAAATTCCAAATAAGTGAGTCTGGTTTTCTATTGTAAATTTTACCAATGATCTTTTTTTCAGTTATTTTTCAACCAATTTTATTCTGCGTTGATTGATTTCAAGACGCACTTTGCGAGATGTTTATTAGTTTCAAATTTTTTTTTCAAAAACATTTTTTTTGTATATTGAAAATAATTCAAATTTTAATTTTAATTCTGGCTGAAGTTCTAAAGCTCACTTACATACTTTAAATAAATAATTTTAACTTTGTAATTCAGTTTATATATAAATATTAGACAATGTAACATTTTTTTATAATAATCTGTTTGAAAACATTTAATATTCCTCGAACTCGAACATTTCGTTACACTTCGAGAAGTTCCAGCAATTTGCCATAAGGCACGATGCTATGCACCACTAGTCTTCATTTATTTTTAGGCATTAACTTGAATGAGATTAATATTTTGAAAATTTACTCTATTTAATAACTATTATTTTTCTTTGAAACTTAAATTATCAAATTACTTGATTTAAAACAACTTCACTACATTTTCGGTATATATAATTCAAAATTCTTATAGAGTAGTGGTTCCATATACTTCTCTAAATATCACCAAGCGAAAGTTTATTACAATCGTTAAGGTATGCAGTTAATGCATTAGTTGACCAAACCATATCGGACATTTAAATAAAGAAGTGGTTTTATTGAAATTACCTTAATAACTTCGGGCGGCATCCAGGCGTAAGTGCCGGCTGCTGACATGCGTGTGGTCTTGTAGACTTCCCGGGCTAAACCGAAATCTGTTATCTTGAGAGTTTTGAAGCGAAAATCGTCATTTTCTATGGCTTGGCTCAGCAGAACTGTAACAAGAAAATTGTTATTTAGGCTAGATTTAATAAATCAAATGTAACAAGTGTATAAGAAAACTAGCGTCTCAGCAAACTTAACAAAGAAATTACTTATTAGGACATTTTTAAGAATTTAGGAATGTAACATGGGTACTGCACTAGGGCAGGTTCGTGAGCTGAATTAAACCCCAACTCGATTAAGAGAAAAAAAGAGTGCGCGTAAGGTTCACACGGGATTGAACTAAAACTTATTTGCTACTGTACAAGATGGCATTTAAGTAAAAATAAATATATCATATAACAATTTTGAATCATGTTATTAGTAATATGGTAACACTCGTGATGCACATATTTATTAGTGACAACCATTATACATATTTATATAATGATGAATTATAAACTATATATTTATAATAGCATTAAAAACAGGTATAATATTTAAAAACAATAATGCAATTAGAGTCATACTGCAAATATGACATGGTCGGTTTGTCATTGTAATTAGCATTTAAAGATGAACCTTCATTAGAGAAATGAAGTAATTGCTGATTAATAACTTCTATAATATTCGTTCACTCAGTGGATTATGTTAAACAACGCCTAAATAAATATTGTTTTCGCAACTTCACTCATCATGTAATAATTGTGTTTAAAGAACTTCATGCAATTAAAATTAACATACATTCATTGATTGATGGTACTTTTTTCACTTTTTCGCTGGCTATATAATCTCATTCTTTGAATAGCTATAATATCTCTTGTGCCTAAACAATTTTTTCCATTTCAATAACTTCAAAGATTTATAGAAACTACGAGTTATATAGAAATTATTTCAATAAACTTATGTTTTATACACGGCGCAAATGCTGCATTTGTTTTATTATTTTCATTACAATTATTTACGGGGGCAGGATAAAATATTCTTCTGATTCATGCATTTTTCATTAAATCAAGATTTGTACTACGATGAAACTTTAAAATGTTTATTTATCTATGCCGATTTTCTCATTGATATCGGTACGCATACAACGACAGATCTCTATTCACATACGCGACGACTGATCACAATCGACCCGTATAGAACTGATATCATCGAGAGCGAATGACGAATCATTGGCACTCGGCTCTCATCTTATCTTATCTGCCGTAACGCATTTTCGTTGCATTTGTATGGATTTACACCCTAGTCGCTAAAGAAGTTTTACTTCAAAAATAATGTGAGAGATTTTCCATTGCCATTTCATATCGCAGTGCCAAAATGAGCTATGTTTAATTGAAAACGTATTTTTGATCTAAATTTTCAAGTAAAAATGGACATCACTATTGCACGATGTGGCAAGTTGTCCGTGAGCATGAACATCATGAAACATCCATCGAATATAACATAAAACTTATAAACGAACGGTGATACTTATCTTGTCATAAGATAATAAATTAACCCTTTCCACTCGGATATCCTCACTCTGGCGGCAAAATACATATTAATTCTGCAATTCGCGAGTGGAAAGGGTTAAGTTGGAGATTTTTTTTTATTTTATCTTGGTCATGGTTTTAACTTGGTAGTAAGAACATGAATTAGCATGATCCAAAGGTTCAATCCTACCTGGCCACCTTGGTTTCAAACAGTGTTATCAGATTTTCACTTGAGATTATAGATCTCAAATACGATTTCAAGTAAAAATAGCATTTCGGGATATTGCTACAACATATACTCACATCACTATTTGAACTATATCAAATATAACCTCAACAAAAAGAGAATAGTTATCCATTGGGTTGCCTTCTTTAGTCATTTTATATACAAAGATTTTATTGTAATCAAAAGTTTAAATTAAGAATATTAGTCTCCTAAATTAAGTGATCGTACAGAATCTTACAGATGATATTCAAGAATATAAAATATCTTACCTCCTAAGTTTATTAAAATATTTGCAATTAGTTACATAGGTTAATTAACTCACAAACGTATACTTTCTAAAATAAAAGTAACATAAATTTACAATTTTACTGTTACTAAATATAGCACATTTCTTACAAAGTTCATTTTCCCATAGTTTATAAGGTGTTAATAACATATGAATTGAATTGTCAAACAAACATTAACAAATACAATGAGTGAACACTTTCGTAAGATATTTGCATTGATCTGCACAAATTGAAAACAATATTACAGGTTCGGCTAAAACAAATATAATCAAATATTAAAAATATTTTTACGTTTGTATTTATTTTAATGAAATTTAAACTCGTTAACGATATATTTATAAACAGGAAGTGTTTCCAGTTAATTGTGATTATTTTATCAACTTATAGTTCGCAACTGTAATTTCGTAAAATGCTTTATCTATTAAATTACTGTAATGAAGGAGAATTTAAGTTGTATTGTGACGTAGGTTTAATCAGAACAATATAATCAAATAATGTTTGTTAGCTGATTTGATTAATCAAAAAACTTGATATGTTTCTTTGAAATTAGACCACTTACACATAAACATTCATATGTAACCTGAAACTTGAAATGAACGTTAAGTTGAAGAAAAATCTGATTACATATTTATCTAAAAAAGTGTATGTATCAGATGCACAAAAACACATGCCTTGGCTTGTGGAAAGAGCTTTGGTTTTGCGACCAAAAGATTCATGTTCAATATCCAATATCAACAGCCTGATATCAAGCAATAGAAGGGTGAAATCGATTCCAAGTAAAAAAAACCTTTATCCGGCAATGCTACATAAAATTAAAAACTATCTAAATAGTACACCAAATAAAATCTAGTTTTATGTATACTAAATATACTTCAATAAAAATGTAAGACATGCGAGTTAAATTAATGAAAGTAACTAGTTAATTTGCGCTAATAGTTGAACTTGGAGTATGATAATTACCTCACACATAGATAATAAAAATGGCAAATATAGTTAAAATATGCGATTAAAACCAGTATTTCACGTCAATTAATAATACTTAATGCACAAATGTAAAATCAATCTAATAAATTATAAAAACAGTTACATTACTGCGAAGCATGACCTGTCGAGCAACAAACAAGCTCGACATGAGAGATTTTATTTAAAATTCTCATTGTCGCAATCAATATATTATATATTAATTAGTCAATTAAAAGATTCCACGGACTTGGGCAAATTGCTGAAGGATTAGTGACACTGCTGTAATATATGACAACAACAACAATAACATCATTATGAGATTAAAAGTTATTTAATTAGACGACAAATACATTATTGAATATTATATACCAAAGATAGTGAAACGTTTCCTATGCATCAAAATTCATTCCGTCATTAAATATGAACACAGTTTGTTAATTAGTATCAGAAAAAACTCTATATGTAATATATGTATTGTAATTAGGATTCCATAGAAATAACGAAATATCTAAAAATAGATAGTAAGATATGTAAATATGTAAATTTAGATTAAACGATACAGCCCATTCACTGTAATCATATAATTAAAATAAAAAAGACAAACAACAGTAATAATTACGACAGAGAAAAACAAGAGCTAATAAATGGAAGCACTATATAAAAAATGTAAAGAAGATGAAGATTCGCATTCGATAAGAATTCTGTTAGTTTTGATCAGTAAGTTTTGTTGGGTCAACAAATGTAATTTGATTTTGTTAAACGCATACATTAGATTTCATTTTTCGTAGTTTCTGAATTTTGCACATTGTAATTATAATATCTAGATAAATTGCCAACATTAATCCTCATTTTAACAAACATCAGCCTCAACTTAATTACCATTAAGTAGTAATTAAAGATATATTTTAAAGATTATTGAAACTATTAGCTCATCCATGTAAATTTATTCCTTATCTAACAACTATTATTGTTGATAAGGGAATTACAATTTTAACAATGAAAATAAAAAATAACACAAAAAAATCTAATATTTTTGATCAAATTCCTATCAGAAAAAATATATTTATTATCAATATTTGTTAATCAAAGTTACGGTCTGCCTAAAGCGATTAATGATTTCCTTTGTTATTATAAAGTAGTAATACCAAAAATCAAATAAATAATTTGTTAAAAATGCACAAAGTAGTCGTTAAATATTAATTAATTTGGTTAAAGCTTAAAATTCATATTGGTAATGAAATATTTTAAATGTATTTATTCATATTAGTTAAGCTGCGGTTTCCAATCTGTGGCGCGACGGCCTGTTATAAAATAAACCAAAATAAACCAAAGTTTTTGAAATAATATTAAGAAAAAAAAAATTAGATTTTTTTCATATTTCTACAAAATATTGCATATTAATTTGTAGCCTGATAACCAAATCAATCAGTTGAGTATTCATAAAATTAAATTGTTGAAAAAAATTATGGGGGGGGAGCTTCAATTGTTTTTATTAGAATGGGGAGGTGCGGTGGGAAAAAGTTTGGAAACCACTGACTAGGTTAAGTAGTAGTCCCTTTCCATATAGTGCATATCACATAAAAAAAGCATTGTGATTTATCTGATCAAAATTAGTTTCATTTATTCATTATTGGTCAACACTTTATATTGACTTTAGGTTTTAACCTCTCTACATGAATAGGAGAAAATTTTACCCAAATTACAATAATAAAATATGAAGTTAAAAGTTTGAAGCCAGTTCTTAAAGTAATTTGCACAAGTCGACTATTTGTATACATAAATTTTAAGAAAATTAATTTCCTTTCAATATTAGAAGAATTTTGTTTATAACTGCATGATAATAAATGGAAACTAATGCAACTTAAAGTAAATGAGATTTGTAACTATCCTGTGCTAGATACAAATTTCTAATAATATAATAAGTTGAAAAAATATATTTTAAAACCATTTATAAATGCTAACTGTGGAAAATATATCTGCAGTTTCACAACTATTATCCTTATCCAGCATTATCTAATTTCAAAACATGACCATAAATTAACCTTAATTGCAGAGAAAATTACATATACTATTATAATTTAATTGTATTTTCAATTGGAACTAATTACAAAAAACGTCACGCG